CGGCCGCGCGAAACGGGCGCGGGAGCCCAGGCGGTGTAGCTGTGGGGCGGGGAAGGAGCGGGATCCTCGCGCCGGGCTGAGCGGCCGCGGGGGCGACGCACCAGGAGGAGGAGAGCGTCGGGTTGAGCGCCTCCCCCAAGGCCGGGAGGAGCTGCGGGGGCGACTTGGAGAAGCGCTGGGAGCTGCGGGCCGGCCGGAGGGGGTGGCAGCCACCGCACAGAGGCTCCTCCCCCGGTGACCACACTGGCTGCTTTCGTTTCCTCTCGTGACAGGTGCTCGGTTGGTCAGTCCTGTCACAGCGAGGTATGAATCGTCCTCGCGAGATTTGTCCACAGGCAGAGCGAGGCCGAGGCTCGGCGTCCAGGGCTCCTCAGGAACCACTGTGCTTAGGGCTTATGTGATGCCTGAGGTCTGGGGCCAGATGTCCCCCTTCCCCAGCTCGTCGCTGGGCTGCAGCCCCAGCCGGGGAAGGCTAGTCCGTAGTTCTCGTCTGTTTTGAGCGCGACGACCAGGAGGCGGTTTGGGGATGAAGTGCTCTGATTCAGCAGCGGAGCTGACGCTCAGGTTTCTGTGGCCTCAGGCATCTTCTTTGTGCCTCTTGTCAGCTTGGACGCCCTTTTGGCAGCTGCCTCTATCCATTTGAGCAATTTCTGGCCTGGGCCTTCTGAACTCCATGGGTTTGAGACATGGTTTCTTAATGCAGTTCTTCAGGGAGGGAGATGTTTAGAAGGTAATAAGGCCTCCGTGGGTAAGGGCTGCTTTCCAGGGGATTCCTAGTGACACTTCTGGACATAGAAGTTAGGATTGGGGGTCATGTCCAGGGCTTGGGTTACTCAGGCCATCTGGATTCTGTTCCTGGGTCCCGGTCCTTTATACCTCCCCCGGTGTTTATTGAGGTGCATCTGTGCTTCCAGCTCCTCTCTGCTGTGTCAAGGACCCAGGGGCAGCCTGCAAGATCCTCTGAGGAGGGTGGGGGAGGGAACTGTGATGCAGTTTCCAGGCCCTCTCCCTAGGATCCCACCTCTCTAGTGCTTGTGAAGGAGGAGGAGCTAGAACTTTATTTTACTTTTGAGGGAGGGAGGATCTCTAAAAAGAGGCTTTGTGATTTGGGAGGCCTGAAGTATAGGTGGGGGGCCTTGCAGGCAACAGCTGTCAAAAGCTGGTGGGTCTTCCCTGGGGCCATGCTATTGTGTGCTGCTTGATGGCTTTGTGTCCCTGAAGAGGCCCCCTTGTTCTGGAGGGTGGAAACTAGGGGGTGGCCTTGACCCCCCCCTTACATTCCACTTAGCACATTGCTAGGCACCTAGCACTTGCTCTTCAGAGCTGTGGTCCCACCAAGTGCTGGCTCTGGCAGGCATTGTGCTGGGCTTTGCCGCTACCAGTGTGTGGAGGAGTCTGTGGCAGGTGATAGCCTGGGGTCTGTCCTCCCTGCTGAAGGTCCCTTCTCTGCAGGTGGCCTCCTGCCTGGCCCAACGCCATGCACACACTTGTGTTCTTGAGCACACGTCAGGTGCTCCAATGCCAGCCCGCAGCCTGCCAGGCTCTGCCCCTTCTGCCACGAGAGCTCTTCCCCCTGCTGTTCAAGGTGGCCTTCATGGACAAGAAGACTGTTGTGCTGCGAGAACTGGTGCACACGTGGCCCTTCCCCTTGCTCAGCTTCCAGCAGCTGTTGCAGGAGTGTGCCCATTGCAGCCGGGCCCTACTGCAGGAGCGGCCCAGCACAGAGAGCATGCAGGCTGTGATCCTGGGGCTCACAGCCCGGCTCCACACCCCAGAGGCTGAGGCCGGCACGCAGCCCTTCTGCAGGTATGGGCTCACCCAAGGGGCCCTCAGGCTTGGGAGGTGCAAAGAGGGGCCCCCAAGAGGTTTTAGGCTGGTGTAAGAGCTCAGTGGAGGAACAGGCATGTTGCTTCTGCCCCAAGGTGGCTGGGAGTGGGTGTGGGCTCTGCCCCATGTCACCTGCCTCAGCCCACCCATGCTCCCAGGAAGCATGCACTGCGGGTGCTGGACATGACGGGCCTCCTGGACGACGGTGTGGAGCAGGACCCTGGCACCATGAGCATGTGGGACTGCACAGCAGCTGTGGCACGCACATGCATCGCACAGCAGCAGGGTGGGACTGTGGAGCCTGGGCTAGCCCCCGTTCCTGTGGAAGTGCGTGTGGACCTTCGGGTGAACCGAGCCTCTTATGCGTTCCTGCGGGAGGCCCTCCGTAGCAGTGCAGGCAGCCCACTGCGGCTCTGCTGCCGGGACCTGCGGGCTGAGGACCTGCCCATGCGAAACACTGTGGCCCTGCTGCAGCTTCTGGACGCGGGCTGCCTGCGCCGCGTGGACCTGCGCTTCAACAACTTGGGCCTGCGTGGCCTGTCTGTCATTATCCCACATGTGGCCCGCTTTCAGCACTTGGCCAGCCTTCGGCTGCACTATGTGCACGGGGACTCGCGACAGCCCTCCGTTGATGGCGAGGACAACTTCCGCTACTTCCTGGCCCAGATGGGCCGCTTTACCCGTCTGCGGGAGCTCAGTATGGGCTCCTCTCTCCTTTCAGGGCGACTGGACCAGCTGCTCAGGTGAGTGGGCCCCACTACTGTTCTCCCCTCCTCCTCCCCTGGCCTTGCCTGTTCATGACCCTTTGTTTTCCCTGCAGCACCCTGCAGAGCCCCCTGGAGAGCCTGGAGCTGGCTTTCTGTGCTCTGCTGCCTGAGGATCTGCGCTTCCTGGCACGGAGCCCCCATGCTATCCATCTTAAGAAGTTGGACCTGAGTGGCAACGACCTGTCTGGCAGCCAGCTGGAGCCCTTTCAGGGTCTGCTGCAGGCAGCAGCAGCTACGCTGCTGCACCTCGAGCTGACTGAATGCCAGCTTGCTGATACCCAGCTGCTGGCCACACTCCCTGTGTTGACCCGCTGTGCCAGCCTCCGCTACCTCGGCCTCTATGGCAATCCACTGTCCATGGTGGGCCTCAAGGAACTCCTGCGGGACTCTGCAGCCCAGGCTGAGCTGCGCACGGTGGTACACCCCTTCCCTGTGGACTGCTATGAAGGCCTGCCCTGGCCGCCACCTGCCTCTGTTCTGCTGGAGGCCTCCATCAATGAGGAGAAATTTGCCCGTGTGGAGGCTGAGTTGCACCAGCTTCTGCTGGCCTCAGGCCGTGCCCATGTGGTCTGGACCACGGATATCTATGGGCGGTTGGCTGCAGACTATTTCAGTTTGTAATCTCTGGGCTCTGGGTGAGAAACAGGCTGTCCCAGAGTCCAGGGCTGCTGGATAGCCCTTCCCCTCCTGGGTAGGCAGAACCTTGGCTGGGACCCTGCTAGAAGCCTGAAAACAAAGGCAATGGTGTCTGATTTTCTTGCCCCTTGAACCTTCCTGCACATTGTGCAGTGCCCTGTGCAGTTTGCCCTGCACCTGCTCCCCTGACTGCCCACCTGTGTATGGGCCTAAGGTTTGGATTCCAGGCCTGCCCAGCCCTGCTTGGTTAGGCTGCACTTGGCTACCCTCTGGTATCCTGGTCCTCTTCAGAATGTTCCTTGGGGCCCATCTCTAAGCTGAGAGGGTGTTCTCTCCGGGCCCCTCTCAAGAGCAGACTACTGGGGCAGTGACCTGGTTCAAGGAGGGTTGGGGCCTCCTGCACTTGGGCCTGTCATGATTTTCCCTGCCCTAGCACCCAGGAGACTGACTGTTGGCTGAGCTTTGGGGCCAGAGGATGTCATTATGGTACAAATGTGCAGTGTGTTTGGAACTTAAATTTGTGGCTGTTTTTCTGTCCTAATTGGTCAGAGTGTGTTGTCCCTGGGTAACAGCTGTCTTCCAGTCTGCTCTCCCTCACCTGGGCATTCCCAGCATCATCGCAGCCCGTCTGGGCATTTCCACAGCACTTCTGGCTGCAGGGCTTGCCTCAGGCCCTGCAGACCTGGAGTTTGGAGTGATTCTGGGAGGGGTCTTTAAAGGAAGATCTCAATGGGGGTGTCGGGAGCCTCCCTGGCCATCCAATGTTTGCACCCCAGGACTTATGTCTGCAGGGCCTCAGGTGCCTGCGCTCTACCCCACCCTCGGAACCCCCAGACCTCACACACGGCTCTCCTGATACTGCTCAGCTTCCACCCTTTACTGACCGCGCGGAGCATGTGCGAGGGGATTCCCCCACAGGCCAATCCGCGGGGCCCGCGTCATCTGCGTCCCCCCCTCAGCAGTGGATCTCGTAGGCAGCGGACGGCTGCGGGGGTGGCCCTGGCGCAAGCCCGGGCGCCACGCTCTCGGCGAAGAGCGGCTTGGAGCGGTCGATGACGAACATCTCGTGGCCCCGCTCGTCGCGGAGTTCCTCAAGCTGCGCGAAGGTGCAGGGCCCGTCGGAGTAGTCGTTGACGAACAGCGCGCCCTCTCCCGGCGGCCCCGGAGCCTTTTTCCGCCTGCGGCGCCGGCGACAGATCAGGGTGGCCAGCAGCAGCGCCGTGAGCGCAAGGAGCGCGATGGCCGCCGCGACGGCCGTCTGCGTGGCCAGGCCCAGGGCGCGGAAAGCCATGCTGCTCGCCTCGTGCAGGGGCTCGTGGCTGACCGGGCCGGCGGCCGGGTGTGGCAGGGGCTCCAGCTGTAGCTGCTGCTGCTGGGACAAGTTGACCAGGAGCTGGAAGGGCATACGGGCGGCGCCGCCGGCGTTGGAGGCCTCGCACTCGTACTTGCCGGCGTGAGCCAGGGTGATGTTGGTGAGGAAGAGCATGCCGCTGCCCATGTCGGAGGCCCCCTGCTCGCCTGGGCCTGGCACCCCGCCTTCTGGCGGGGCCCGGGCCCGAGGTCCCTCGCGAGGCTGGGCTACCTTTCTCCAGGTTACCAGGGGCTGCGGATAGCCGGAAGCCTGGCAGGCGACCCGCAGATCCTCACCCAGGTTGGCTATCACCTCCAGCGGCTCAACGTGCACAGAAGGCGGGATGCAGATAAGGCTACTGCCAGATACGTCCAGAAGACTCTGGTGTGCCAGGCGTGGGGGCTCTGCACACATGATCTTCTTGTCCCTGGAGCTGAGCAACCTCTGCCCCCCCTCCTTGATCCAAGCTCCCAGCCAGTGCAGGGCACAGTCACAGCGCCATGGATTCTCTGTGGACAGAGTAGCAGTGGGCAGGGAGCTCAGGGCAGCCGCAGACCACAGCCTTGGGATTCTGTTGGCCAGAGCAGGAGCCCCTTCACCACCTCCCGCAGAGTCAGGGGCCCCTACCACCCCTTTTCTGACCCCAGGTTCCCTAGAGTGGAGGCAGACTCTTCCCTGACCCCTGTCCCTCTGAAGTGTCTCTGCAACAAGTCCCACTATTTTGGGAAAACCCTGATGTCCACATAGACACCTCACCACCACTAAAACCTTGCAAATCTTGTCAGAACTTATCTCTCAGGTGTCATCTGGAAATGCCCCCAATCCTGGCCTCATCTTTGCAGTTTCTGCCAGCCCGCCCTCTGGTGGCCCCAAAGTGTACAAGCCTCTCAACTGTGCCTAATTTGTTTAGGGACTAAACCTTTTCTATCTTCCTTACAAAAGTTCCCTGAACTGTGCCCCTGCCTGCACCCCCATTCCTAGCAGCATTCTGTCATGGCTGCTGGTGGTTGTGTTGCCCTTCAGAGTGCTGCCCAAGGGTCTGCAGCTCAGAGCCACTGCCATTGGAGGCCTCTCCACATCTGGGCCTACTCCCTACTGCCAGCACTTTAGCCAGAGAAGATATCTTTGCAAGAGATCCCTTGCTCTAGAAAGAAGTACCTGTGAGGCGTAGGACCTGCAGGCTGGCTAGGGGCTGCAGAGTCTCGCGGCTGATGGTGCCCAGCTGGTTCCTACTGAGGTCCAGCAGTGCCAGTGAGGAGAGCCCGGCCAGGGCCTGGTCCTCCAGCAGCTCAATGCTGTTTTCCTGCAGGTGCAGCTCCTGCAGTCGCTGAAGCAAGGACAGCAGATTATCAGGGAAAGGGGCCCTGGTGGACATGTCTCCTTACCAGGCTAGGCCGGATGACGTTTGTCCCCTTCACTACTCCAGCCCGGCAGAGCAGCTGGAAGTCTAGGAGCCCCCGTGCCCTTTTTCCCCCGCACCCCCTCACCGGCACATGCAGGAAGGTGAAATCCAGCAGCTGCACCAGCTGGTTACCAGCCAGGTAGAGTACGCGCAGCTGGGCCAGGCCTGCAAAAGCACCGAGGCGCAGGCCTCGAAGCCGGTTGCCTGTGAGTGCGAGCTCCAGCAGGCGTGGCTGTTTGCGAAAGGTGCCTGGCTCCAGGGCACGAAGGCTGTTGTTATGTAGGTAGAGACTGCGAAGGGCAGCAAGTGGTGCCAGGATGCCCAGCTCCAGGTGCGCAATGCTGTTGTCCTGTAGGAACAGGGTCTGCAGGCCAGAGGGAGGGAGGGCAGACAGGTGTTTACCCCACTGAGGGCATGTCCCTCCAACCTAGGGTCCCCATCTTCCCACTGAGCAGCTCATACACCCTTTCCCTCCTTTCTAGGGCACTTCTGACCTGCAGCCCCACACGGTTCCCACCTGTGTCCCGGGCGGGATTCCGGGTGGGACAACGTGCAGCTGCAGGGCCCCACACTCCACCGTGGTGCTGTAGCAGCGGCAGGCAGCCGGGCAGCCGGCAGCTCGGGGCCGGAGACTGGGCAGACAGAGCAGCGACAGCAGCAGCAGTGCTGGGGCCCCTGGGGCCATCTCCTGCTGGACTGGCTGCAGACCAAAGCGGCAACCTCACCAACTTCACCCCAGGTGGGATGCGCCTCCTCAAACAGTCTGGCAAGGCCTTCCCCTAACACTTGAGAGCCAGCGAAGAGCATGGATGGAAGCTCACACGATGTCTAATGTTTGAAAAGTGATAAATCAATTTAAGAAACTGATAAAACATTTTCTTCCTTAACAAAACAGTCAAGGGTTTGGGGCATCAGGTTCCATTTTAGAATTTCTGTTGTCCTCTCTGTTGCACACAGGCCACATGGGGAGAGCTCAGCCCACCCCACCAAGCGCCTTTTCTTCCTGTCCCATCTCTGCCTGGTACTGTGAGGCTTCTTACTCAGGCTTGTGGGTGTCTGGGTAGTGCCGCCCTCTACACCCTCAGAACCAGCCACTCTTTGGACCTAGGGTGCAAGAGGCTATGCAAGGTACAGTGGTATGGGCTTGAGAGCATGTGAATTGTGAAGTCCAGGGCCCAGTTCCCCAAGCAGGGGCCAGAAAGGGAAGAGCAGACACAGCCCCTTGTATATGTGGATTCCTCACTCTGGGGACTGGCATGAGACCTTATAAGGCACAGAGCCCAGAGCAGAGGTCCCTTTTGTGCCCCCAGAAAAAGGTCACTTGATAGGACAATTCACCTGTTACCACTTGATGGGAGACAATGGCAGAACTGGTCTTAGGGGAGTCAACAGCCACAGAAAAATGAAGGCACTGTTGTGTCCTCCCCCACTCCTGCCCTGGAGGTGGGTGGGTGGAACAGCTTACTGGAATGAGGGCTTGTTCACAGGGGACTTTCAGGAGAATGGGATGAGGCGGCAAACAGTAGGGAAGGACATCGCAGAAGCTATGGGCCTGTGTTCTCCCTGCTGGCTCCTTAAAAGGTGTCTCTGTGGGGATCAGTGGGGCCCTGGTATGGTTGGGGTATGAAATGGGGCCTTGGGAAACCAACTGGGTTTCTTGTGTCGTTTTAACAGTCACTCTGGACCGAAGTGAAGTGTGCAGTGTGTTGGGGATTTATACACATGCAACTGTGATCCTAGAGAGATGGGAAGACCTGGGTCTAGTTCCAGGCACAAGTCCAGTTTTAAAGGTGGGGACCTGGGCTGAGAAGCCAACCAGGGATGGCAGGGCTGAGGGCTGGCTATCACCCAACCTCAAGTTCTACCTCTAATGGTACCAGCTCTAAACACCCCTGTTCACCAGGTCTCCTACTATCAAGAGTGAGTCATGTAGCCCCAGCTGGCTTGGCTCAGTGGTTAGAGCACTGGCCCTCAGACGGAAGGGTCCTGGGTTCGATTCCAGCAGCCAAGGGCACTCACCTCGGCTGCAGGCTCGATCCTCAGCCCTGGTTGGGGCAGGTGCAGGAGGCAACCAGTCGATGTCCCTCCCCCCTCCCTTCCACTCTCTCTGAAAAGCAGTGGAAGACAAGTCCTCAGGTGAGGAGTAAAAAAATAAAAGCGAGTCATGTAGAAAGGAACCAGTGGCCTTGCTGTTTATATCTTGCCGTAAAGTGTAACTCACGATTATTTACAGTCACTAGAGATGAGGTCAGCACAGCAAAAATTTTAATGGAATAGCTTTGGCCCAGACAGAGGCAGCTCCCTGGTGTCTCAGGATGTTTGCAAACCCCAATAAACAGGGATTTCTCTGGGACCCTGGCATTCATCCCCTTGAGAAAAGGGCTCGCCCACAGCCAGCCTCCAGGGGCAGGGCCTCTCCAGCAGGGAAGGTGCTCGGCTTCCTCCGCAGGGCTCGGGGCGCTGCTGCTCACGCGGGCACCCCCGA